AAATAAATAAAATCTTTAAAAAAAAAAAAAAACCAGGAAATGGACATTTAAATACAAGCTTTTAATTTTCTTTTGATAATAGTAGATGATATGATTATCATGGGGACAGATGTCCACCTCAAGGTGTTTTTTGTTTTTTTAATTAACAGTGTCTGTTTACCAAATGGTCACCTTTTTTGGTGTGTATGTGACAAATTCAAAGAATAAAATATTCACCAGGAATTCATTCTAGGAATCCCTGGAATAGGCACATATTTCCTCTTCCTGAGACTAAAACGGAAACGAGTGTAGAGAGGTGTCACTCTGTCACCTCTTCTCTTCTCCCTTACGTCAGCAGGACAGATGTCCAGAGAAGCTACCAGAGTGAGGGTCTCACGGCTGACCTGTAACGACCAAGGACGCCCTGTGCCTAGGACTTCCCTTCCTGACCCTCTGTCCTCCTCCGCCCTCGGTCTGCCTTCCATGCTCTGCTCGCTCTGGCCTGTCACTTAGCTCCTCCCGAAAGGCTTGGCCTCACCCCTCCCACCACACCGCCTCCTGCCCCGAGCCCCGCATTGCCCCCTACTGGTTACCTACATTTTCTGCACGTGTTTGTTTCCACCTAAACTGGGCTCAGGAAGAGGGTTCTAGGCCCTCTGCCTCTGTCCAGACGGTGTAAGGCCTGGATGCTCCCCAGCCAGCCTTGGGGTCCAGTGCAGGCTCCGCCGTGGGCTCCCGAGTCCACACTGCAGGGGACAGCTGGGATGCCGGTGTGGGGAGCAACGGCATTAAGCCAGAGACCGGAGACTGACAAATGTGTTTCCTTTCTGATCCGCCTGCGGCTTCTGCTGGGTGCCTCTGCCCTTCTGCTTCCCTGCCCTCCTACCCTCCTTCCTAACGTTGCCCCTGAAACGGCCTCTCAGCTGCTGCAGCGACCCCTGGACATGGACACTGTCCAGCACGAGCTTCCCCGGGAGGTGGGCCAGGTGCACCTGGAGGTTTCAGAGCTGCGGAAGCAGGTGGCTGAGCTGGAGGAGCATCTCGGGAGCAGGCCGCAGTTGCAAGCCTTGGACAAGGTGGCCCCTGGGAAGGAGGTAGGTGTCCTGTGCCGATTGCTCCCACCACAGCTGTGCTGTCTGGGGCCTGCTGCAGAAGTCACCGGAATGGCCGTCTGCAGAGCCCTCCTGCGCCCCACTGTCCTTCACTTCCGCCTCGGCTGGCTTCCGTGGTCAGACCTGGTCCGTGGCCTCCAGGCCTTAGGATCCTGCCACTTAAAAGTCCAGCATAGGATGGGGCACCTGGTGGCTCAGTTGGTGAAGCGTCCGACTCTTGGTTTCGGCTCAGGTCACGATTTCACAGTCATGACATCAAACCCCGCATCAGGTTCTGTGCTCAGTGGCGAGTCGGCTTGAGATTCTCTCTCTGCCCCTCCCCCTCTCAAAATAAAGAAACAAGTCTTAAAAAAAAAAAGTCCAGCGTGGGAACCACACGTATGAAGAGGGCTGTTCTGTTTCCTCTAAAAGGGAGTCCCTGACTCTTGCTAGGAGGGCCCTGAAATTGAATGCAAAACTGGGTTTCTCCTTCGAGAGGACCCTTGTGGGGACTCTCCGAGTGTTTGAGGCTGCCACCCCCTCGCTCGTGACAGTGGGGCTTCCATCCTGGTCCTGGCCCTCTGCACCTGGTTAGTCCCGCGGGCTCTGTGGCTGGTTCAAGCCATGGTTCTGAGCTGTGGAGAGAGCCCTGCAGCAGCCGTCCCCACAGATCTGACACACAGGCCACTTCTCTTCTTACTGACGGCTGTGATGGAAATGCTGTTAAGCGCGCACTTTCTTACTCTGTCAGTTACCTGTGGTGACCTGGGTCTCCTCTTATCTTTGGTGACCTGTGGTACCTGCAGTTACCCATGGTGACCTGCAGTGACCTGGGTTACCCGTGGTGACCTGCAGTGACCTGGGTTACCGGTGGTGACTTACAGTTCCTGGGTTACCCATGGTGACCTATGGTGACCTGCGTGACCCACGGAGGCCTGCAGTTACAACTGTACCCTGGTGTCTGGGAGGCGTGGAGAGCTCTCTGGCAGCAGCGGTGTAGACATAGAAGGCGGTGCTGAGGGGCACCTGGGTGGCTCAGTCGGTTGGATGGCTGCCTTCGGCTCGGGTCCTGATCCTGGAGTCCTGGGATCAAGCCCCGCGTCAGGCTCCCTGCTCAGGGGGAAGCCTGCTTCTCCCTCTCCCTCTGCCTGCC